GCACCGCCCTGGGGTTTCGTCGGCCCTGGCTGCCCTATTAGTGGGGGCTGCTGGGGTCCGCTGGGGGCCCCCGCGGCACGGGGCGCCCCTTGTTGCTGTCTTTCGGCCGAGGGCGGCCCAGGCTCGACGCCTGAGGCAGCCCAGTGTTTTGGCTTCCCTGCGCTCATGCTGTCGGGTTGCGCCAATCCTGTTGATTCTCTTAATCGCCCGCTCGGGCGCCGCTCTGGCTCTGCTCCCCGGGCCGCTCTCTGCCCGCTCCGCCCTGCCCCGCCCGCTTGCCCCCCGGCGTGCTGGACTCGCCCGTGCGCCGTGGCTTCTCCCCGGCTCTGGCGGCGAAGAGGAGGAGGAGGAGGAGGAGGAGGAGGAGGAGGAGGAGGAGGAGGCGCGCCTCTGGCTCCCTGCCTCTGGCTCCCTGCCCGCCCGACTCTGGCGCGGTCCGCTCTGGCTCCGCTGCCGCTAGCCGCTCCTTCTCCGCCCGCCCGCTCCGGCGTGGCGCCTCCTTGCGCGCTGCCTCGCCCCGCCTCCGCTGCCCGCGGCCCCTGCCCTGCTCATTGCCCCGCCGCCCCCGCGGCCGTTGCCCGCTGCCTGCCCCGCCGCCGCCCGGCCACCGTCCCGCGAGGGGCCGCCTTGCCTTTCTGCTCTTCCCGCCGGCACGGCGTGCGCGCGCGGCTCCCACTGTGCGGGCGCCCGACGCCCTGGCGGGTCGCCAGCCCGCGACGACCGAACAACGTGTGTGTACATACATGGATGTATATAGATATGCATGTGTGTAGCGATCCGTCTCCCCCCTGTGCCGCTCGCTCCGTCCGTTTTTTTCGGCCGCGCCTCCCCCCTCTCCTCCTCCTCCTCTTGCACGGTGGCACAATTCGCTCTAGTGGCATCCCCGTTTATGCATTCCATCGCCAGCGCAGACGTCCCCTGCCTAGCCGCCGACGCAAAAACGTGTGTACATCTGTGTGTGTGTGTGTCGTCACGCCGGCCAATTCGCTTCTCGGTGCCCCCGTTTCGCTTTATCGCTGGTGCAGCCAATTCTGCCTCGCCGCCGACGGAAAAAGTGTGTGTGTGTGTGTGTGTGTGTGTGTGTGTGTGTGTGTGTGTGTGTGTGTGTGTGTGTGTGTGTGCGTCTGTGCAGTCGCAAAGCAAAGCCAACGACTACTCCTAAGCGAGCTGCGGCGAGGAGTTTAGTGAGGAGAAGTGAAAATAACTAGGGGCCACCGGGGGCACCATGACGGGTCCGTCCAATGAGCCCCCCGCAAGAGAACCCTTATTGCCAAGGCCTTACGGCCAGTACCGCCGACCCTGGATAACTCGGCCCTCGAGGGTGACGGGGTGCGTGATAAGACGTCGAAGGTAAATGAAGACGTGGCGGAGGAGGAGGAGGAGGAGGAGGAGGAGGAGGAGGAGGAGGAGGAGGAGGAGGGGGAGGAGGGGGGGGGAGGGGGGAGGAGGAGGAAGGAAGGAGGAGGAGGAGGAGGAGGAGGGAGGAGGGAGGAGGAGGAGGGAAGAGGAGGAGGAGGAGGAGGAGGAGGAGGAGGAGGAGGAGGAGGAGAAGGAGGAGGAGGAGGAGGAGGAGGAGGGGGGGAGCGAACGAGCGACCTCGGCAGCAGTTCGGCTTCGACGCGCGGGGGCACGAGCCTAAGAGGATTGGCCGCCTATCAGCGTCCTGAATTGCTGCTGGTTCAGTCTTTGGGCGAGGCGGTAGGGCGCCTGAGGGAGCCCGTGGGGGCCTATAAAGCCTTGGGCCCCTCGTCGGCCCGAGGCCGTCTCGGTCCTCCGGATTTTAGCAAAGCGAGAGGGCGAAACACTCGGGCTCAACCTTCCCAACCTGCAACTGTATGTAGTAACACGCCTAGTGGACGCTCAGGGCACAAGTCATGTAATGTTGCGCGCGTCGCGTGCTCACTGTGCTATACAAGTGTATAAGTGTACAGCGTGCATGTTCAAGACACGGGGCGTTATGCTACAAAATGCCGCACTCTGAAGCCGCGCTCACGTGTCCCGAGAGAGCAGGAATCCTAGCTGTTGAAGTCCAGGCAGCGAAGAGGAACGCGTACTGGACAAAAGGTAGCGGGTGGAGGAGGAGGAGGAGGAGGAGGAGGAGGAGGAGGAGGAGGAGAAGGAGGAGGAGGAGGAGGAGAAGGAGGAGAGGAGGAGGAGGAGCAGGACGAGGAGAAGAGGAGGAGGAGGGGAGGAGAGGAAGGAGGAGGAGGAGGAAGGGGGAAGGGGAGAGGAGGTCGCCCAGGCGGATGCGTATCTGCCCCCCCCCCCCTCCTGTGGGAGGGTAGGGAGGGGCTTCGCCACGAACGCGATTTTCTTCTGTTTCGTGTTCGATTTCGCTTTATGTCGGGCGACGACGACGACGACGACGACGACGACGACGACGACGACGACGACGACGACGACGACGACGACGACGACGGTGATCCACGCAAGACGACGACACGGGGATGCGTCTTCCACATGCCGACAGGGTCGGCGGATTTGATGCTTTACATGCTCCCGCCAGCGCCATCCATAGACACGTCTTGGCGAGTTGTCGTGAGAACAGGCGACGAGGGTAATCATTGAAGCATCGCTGTAAAGCCCAGGGCCGTACCCATGGGGGCTCAAGCGCTTTTGTTTCCAGATCGCTTCCAGTTCCCTGTCGAGTGCACGTGCGAAGCGCAGAGGCTGCTGCGATGACACCGCGGTCGCCCGACGCCGCGTCGTCGCGCAGCACCGACGCCACCTTCTGGTCCGCGCCGCCCCTCTCTCCGAGCGCGGCAAGGTCCTGGGGTGCTTCGAGTCAGCTCCCGCGCGACTCCTCTGTGAGCCTCTCGGGCCTCCCGGCCCGGCTGGAAAGGCTCGGGGCGCTCTCCAGGAGCCCGCTGGAGCCCCCGGGCGGCGGCGGCGGGGAGGCCTCGGCCTGCGGCGGCCCCGGCGCCCTCGCGCGCTCGTCGAGGAGGGCCTCCACGACGCTCTTGCCCCGGCTCTCCTCCGTCGGGGCGCTGCAGCAGCCGCCCGCGAGCACCTCCCGGAGGAGGTCCGTGCACGAGGCCCCCGCGGCGCCGCAGTCCCCGGCCGCGAGGAGCCTCTCCGAGGCGGGGCGCCGCCGCAGCCTCGGGGCGCTGCAGCAGGCGGGCGCCATGCAGGCGGCGCGGCCGCAGCGCCCGGAGGGGGCCGAGGACCTGCAGCCGCCGCGGCAGCCGCCGCGGCGCGGCTCCTGGTCGGAGCCCGTGCGGCGCGTGCCGCGCCCAGAGCCGCGCGCGGAGCGCAGCTCCGACCTCGCGGGCCCGCCCCCGCGCCGCGCCACCCCGGGCGGTGCGGGCAGGCCGGCGGCGAGGGCGAAGCCTCTCCAGGAGGAGGGCCTCGGCGCCGACCCGGGCGAGGGGCCCTACGACGGGCTGAGCCCCACCACGCTCGGGTCCCTGGAGGCCTTCGAGGAGTGCTCGTCCACGTCTGCGAGCGACGACGGCCAGGTGGCGCCCGCCGTCCTGGAGGTGCAGGTGCCTCTCGGAGCCACGCTGCTCGAGATCTACTCTCGCTGTGCGGACGAGGGGGCGGAGGTGCACGAGAGGTTCACGCTCTTGGCATTCAAGCGCTTCGCGAGCCCTGGGACCAACGAGATTGCGCGCGATCGCCTGCACGACGCCCTCGTGCACGTGGGCTTCCTGACCAGCACTCGGGAGCAAGCCCTGGGCCTGGCCACGGAGCTGTCCAAGTTCCACAACCTCGACTACATGGACTTCTGCGAGTACGTGAGCAGGTTCGCCGCCCTGGAGCGCGACGCCGTGCGCCGGAGCGCGGACGCCTGCGTGGCGGAGCGCTCCGGCCAGGCCGGCGCCGCGGCGGCTCTCGAGCAGACTCAGCGGTTCCTGCGCTCCGCCGGCGTGTGCCTGCCTTACAGCAGCGTGGAGAGCGCGCGGCAGGCGGCGCAGCTGGGCCACGTGAGGCCGGAGGACATGAGCACCGACGACCTCCTGCTGACCCTGGCCTCCTGCAGGGTGGACGAGGGCTTCACCAAGGAGGAGGTAGCAGCCGCGCACCGGGTCTTCGGCCAGCTGAAGCAGGGGCAGCGTGACCCTGCGAGCGGCTGGGGCCCCGTGGCAAGGGCTTCCATGCTGCTGGAAGGCCTGCTCAAGTTCACGGGCCTCTACAGCGTGGACTACATGGGCTCGCTGGCGGACGTCTTGTCCTCCGACTCCGCCGAGCAGCCGGGCGTCTGCTTCCACGAGTTTCTGATCTGGGCGCGCCAGCTGCGCGACCCCATGATGCGGGACCTGTGGACGTGCTTCAAGGACCTGGACACCAGCGGCTCGGGCCTGATCCCGCTGGACACCGCCATCAGCATCGCGGCGAAGTTCGGCATCACCCTGCTCACCGACGCCGTAGATGAGCTCCTGTCGGACCTCGACCTGCAGAAGGACGGCGCCCTGACCTTTGACACGGTGGTGCGGTTCATGTGCGCGGCGCGGAGGATGCACGGCTTCTCGCGCTCCGAGCGGGAGGAGTTCGGCGCCGCGTTCCAGAAGTTCAATTACCACGGGACGGGCGAGCTGACGCACCTGCAGGTGCTCGAACTGCTTCGGCACCTCGGGAACACCACCAGCATCGACGAGGTGAGCTCCCTGATCAAGCGGGTCGACTTCAACAAGAACGGGTCAATGGACCAGCATGAGTTCTTGAGGTTGATGAGGTCCATGCGCGAGCAAGACGTCCGGGGCGCCCGCAAGTCCTTCGACAAGCTGCGCAGCCCCAGTGGCCGGATGCCCGCTGGGTCTGTCAAGGACGCCCTGGCCAAGCTGCAGCTCTTCCCACAGGATAGCGTGGTCGCCGAGCTCTTGCAAGACATGCCAGCAGAGTTGTGCTTCACATCCTTCATGCGCATCAACGACCGATGCCGCTTGCGCATGAACCTCGAGTTCCGGATGCGCGCGGGCTTCCAAGAAAGCACCATAGCAGAGATTGCGCAGGTCTGGAATCGCGGCGGTTCTCAGAGACAGTTTGCCGCTGTCGGCGAGCTCATTTGGATGTTCACTGGCTCCCACGGGATCCCTGTGAATACGAGCGCGTCTCGGCAGGATCTGCTGAAGCGCATGCGGTTCGCGACAGAGGCCGCCGTTGCCGCTGGAGTCCCAGAGGAAGAGGCGTCGCGCGAACGCTCCACCGACATCGGCTTCTATACGTTCGTGCACCTGTTGCGCGGCTTCGTGCGTGACTCGGAGCAGGAAGCCATTGATCGTGAAAAGGAGGCGGTATCCTTTGCCCGCTTCTCGAACGGCGAGGTCATCGAGCTCCGCCGCGTCTTCTCCGACCTCGCCGAGAAGGAGGCAAATGATGAATCGGCTTGCAAGCAGCCTGCTGGGAAAGGGCACAGTGTGGACAGGCTCCTTGCGCGGCTCAAGAGGGCGCCCAGCATGCCAGAGACCGCATTGCCGCTCCTGCTGAAGTCCATCGGTCTCCGGGTGCCTTCCAGCAAGCTGCAGGACCTGAGCCGGTTCCTGGCAGAGGCTCGGAGCCGGGGCGAGGCGGACGAGAACACGATCCAGTTCGCCACGTTCCTCAGGCTCTTCCGATGGATGTTCGACACCGACTTTGCGGGCATACGCAGTGTGCTGGACTTCCAGGAGGGCGAGCGAGCAGGAGGCGTCGGGAGCGCCTGACCTGCCCTCTTCTCTCACGAGCTGTGCAGAGGCTCCCCTGCGGGCACGCGGTGGGCCAACCACGGCGCCCCCAGTGCACCCGGGATCCAGGCGCTACGGAGAGGAGGAGGAGGAGGAGGAGGAGGAGGAGGAGGAGGAGGAGGAGGAGGAGGAGGAGGAGGAGGAGGAGGAGGAGGAGGAGGAGGAGGAGGAGGAGGAGGAGGAGGAGGAGGAGGAGGAGGAGGAGGAGGAGGAGGAGGAGGAGGGAGGAGGAGGAGGAGGAGGAGGAGGAGGAGGAGGAGGAGGAGGAGGAGAGGAGGAGGAGGAGGAGGAGGAGGAGGAGGGAGGAGGAGGAGGGAGGAGGAGGAGGAGGAGGAGGAGGAGGAGGAGGGGAGGAGGAGGAGGAGGAGGAGGAGGAGGAGGAGGAGGAGGAGGCGCGGCTCCAGGCCGGGCGCCAGATACGGCACCCGCTGCTCCCTTCCTCAAGCCTGCTGCGTCGCGTCCTCTGCTTCCCCGCCGCTCCTCTGCGGGCGCGTGCCGCGGCATGCCGCTCCCACGCTCTTTTGCATTTTCCGGCCTCACGCCCTGTGATGCCTGGCGCCTGTTTTCTGGGGTGGATGCACACCACCGGACTCCAATTCGCGCACGCTTCCTCCAAGGGAAGCTGTCTTGCAAGCTCCGTGCCCGTGCTCCTTCGGCAGAGAAGAGGGTGCGCACGCACCAATTTTGGATACACGCTCGTTGCTTAGTTGTTGGCTCAGCGTTCGATTCATTTGCTCGGTAGATCGGTGTTGCCCTGCACCCTCCGAATTTTGTTCCGTCGAGAGACCGTGGCTTCTATACATAATGATGCAGCGCATCCGTTTCTGATCTTCCGTGTGTTGCACGGCGTGCACCTCCGTTCAATACCTCGCATTTAGTGCGGCCGTACGCGGTCGCGTTCGGCGCATGCGAGCCCATAACGAGAGCGAGCCGCCGTTGCCTTCACCAGAACACGTTCGACAGAAGTTTTCCTCGCCTGTCGCTGCGAGATTCGCGTGCGTCCTCTCCTCGCTGGCGCAGTGCTTATCGCAGTTGGCTTATCACAGTTTGCTTCGCGCACGCTTCCTCCAAGGGAATCTGTTTTGCAAGCTCCGTGCCCGTGCTCCTTCAGAATCATAGGCGCACGTGGATGCGTGATCGCTGCTCAGTTGCTGCCTCAGTTTTTCAACAGGTGTGCAAGGATTTTTGTTCGGTAGAGCGGTGCTGCCCTGCACCCTCCGATCTCTGTTGCTGCGTCGAGGGGCCGTGGCTTCTGTACAGAGTTCGTTCCTCTTCTTCCATACAGTCGGGGCCCTGAAGAAGGAACCCTTTTCGTTGGGGAGGGGCTCCGCGTTCCTTAAGTGTTTCACAGCTTGCCTCAGGTGTTCCTTATGTTTTCGATAGGAAAGCGAAGGTTAACTTATGGAAAAAAGGGGCCTCGTTCCTTACTTAGGGTTCCTTAGGTCAACGCCCCGACTGTATGTTGCAGCGTGCGCACCTCCGTTAAATACCTCCCATTTGGTGCAGGCGAGGTGGAGCACTCCGCGCTTGTCCATGGCCGCACGCGGATGCGTTTGGCGCGTGTGAGCCCATAACGAGAGCGAGCCGCCGTGACCTTCACAGTGCAACACCTTCCAGGAGTCTTCCTCGCTTGCCTGCACGAGACTTTCGTGCGTCCTCTCCCTCGCTGGCGTAGCGTCCATCGCAGTTGGCTGTTGGGCCATGGGCCCCATTTTCTAGCTCCGGAGGCCCGCGTGCAGCCGAAGCGTCGAGAGCGTCAAAACCGCGTCATGATTCCGACTTCCGAGGGACCGCCCCGGGATGCTCCTTGGCCGCCTTCTCCGCAGCCGTTTTGTCTCAAGCCACTCTCCCTTTTCATTCATACTGTAGTGTTGGCCTGTTCCCCGACACTGACGGACGGCGATGCCCGTCGCGCTGCCGCTCGCGGCGGCGGCTGGCCCCGTCAACGGCGCCGCGCTCCGCGAAGGGAGCGTCGACCACGCGGAGCTGCGGCGCCCTGGCAGCAGTGCCGGTAGGCCGCGTGTGTTCTCTGCTTTGTCACGACGTACGCGTCCGAAGAGCACATGTCTCGGGGGAGAAAAAGATACGGATACGTGTTGTCCCCCGTCGTTTTCGGCCTTTCCTGGTCCTCCTGGGGAATCCTCGTTGTCACCGCTGGATTCGCCTCGAAATTCTGGTCAGAACGCACCCCAAGAGAGGTCCGGGGACAACACGTATCCGTATCTTTCCGCCCCCCAACATGTCGTACGTGAGGTGCCAGGCGGAGCTCTACAGGCGCGCGCCGAGGCTGAGGGAGACAGACGTACTCCTGCACGTCGGAGAGGACGAGGCGTCCACAGCGAGGCGCGCTCGGCAATGTGACACGGACGCCTGCGTGCATTCCAGCCTCGCGGCATGGCAAGAGCTGTTGAACGCGTGGCCCATGCCTACCAAGATGCTGAAGTTCTCCCGCAATCCGTGCAAGCAGCCTGGTGCGAAGAAGGCGATGCACGATGCGTTGACCTCTAGCTGGTTTCGAGGATATGACTGGGTGATACGCACGAACCCGGACCTGATCTTCTATGATGACAGTCGTATGTTTTCTCTCATGGAGCGTTCGCAGAATTGGGCAGTGGTCATGAAGTGCGGCAACATTCAAACCAACACGGATTTCTTCGCGGTTCGGCCGGACCGCCTGCCAGTGGACGCATTCTCGGAGCGGAACTCAACAAAACTCGACGCCTAGCAGCAGGCGAACCAGGCGTTCCAGCAGATCTATGAAGAGGGCGCTTATGCTTTCCTGAAGCCCGAGGGCCACCAATCTGGATGCCACCTAAAGGACAGAGGCGTGTACCACGCCCACGCGGATCCGACATGCGCTTGGTGCTGGACCGACAGCGATCGCAGCAGTCTTTCAAGGGCGGCATCAAGGATTACCAGCAGGAGGTCGCACCAGTACCAAATCCTTGGCATGAGGCTTGGCGGCTTGGCTCTGAGGATGGCGGGCGATGACTGAGCTGCTCCTTGGCCGCCTCGCGCCATCTTGAGGCCACCTGGGGATTCCTCGTGGAGGCAGTTTTCGGCCAGCCTGGGCCACACTCTGCCAGGGTGGTGGCGTTTCGGCGTGACGCGTCCCGGTACGGACGTTTCTTTTGCTGCTTCTGGCCGCACTTCCAGCCAGAGGCAGCAAAAGAATTGTCCGTACCGGGACGCGTCACGCCGAAACGCCACCATGGTCGCGCAACCAGTTGGTCGGCCGAATGGTGGTGGCGACGTTGTCCTCCTCTATTTGCTCCCGCCCTATTCTCTTCTCTCCCTCGTCCTCCTGCTTCGTCGTCTTTGCGTAGTTTCCCGCGATCGCATTCCAGACGCTCCTCAATTTCCCTTCTCACGATTGCCATATTGCGCACGCGTGCTGGTGCTTCCGGGGTAGATCCCCTGTGGCGCAAGGGTGCACGCAGGCCGTTCTGGGCTTTCTTCCCGAGTATGGCACGAGACTTGTCGGCGAAATCTTCCGACGCCGGCCGTCGCGCGATGTTTCGGATTTGTCCGCCTTGCGTGCGCACCCTTGGGCAATCGACCAGATGAGTGCGCGCCAGGCCGATGCGCCTCCGTCGAAAAAGAAAAGAGAAGGTGGCGCAGCCTTGCTGTGGTGATCCTCTCTTTTGTGGCCTCGCGGTCAATCTGCACTGTGCTAGTTTGTTCTGGCTCCCCCACCTCTTGGGATGGTGGACTGGTTGTTGAGCTCCCTCCAAACTGAGAGCCAAAAGCTACGGGCAGACAGCATTACACACACGTTGCTGCGTTCAGTGTGAATTGCTACTGCGTGCCTTGCAGATCAAATTCACTACGACAGCAACCTTGCGGTGGTGATCCTCTATGCTTTTGAATCGTGAATGTCGTCTCTGCGTTGGGCGAAGGAAAACGAATGGCGGCCCCTGGCCGCCGGCTGCCCACCCGGCCCGGTCTTGCGCTCAGACGAGACATGCGGAACTCGGGCCATCGGCTGTCCGCATCCCACTCCTTCTTCCGCCTCGTCCCTGCCCAGAAGAGTGTGCGGAGCAAATCTCTCAATGCCTCTTACTCTCTCTCTCTCTCTCTTTTTCTCTCTCTCTCTCTCTTTTTGTCTCTCTCTCTCTCTGTCTCTCTCGCCCTCTCTCTATCTCTCTTTCCCTCTATATTTCTTTTTCTCTCTCTCTCTCTCTCTCTATATATATAGATATCGAAGACGCCTACGGCGAATCACCGCCGCCCCCTGCCCTGGTGGAAGCGCATATGTGGCCGACAGTTGGGCTAGAGCTTGGCCAAGCTATCGGGCCAGTTTTTCCCCGAGTCCGTTTGGAGAGCCTTCGGGGATCGCGTGGAGAGTAAGAGGTTTGGAAGCGCCCATGTGTCTGAGCGTTGTGGCAAGAGCTCTGCCAAGCTATCGGACCAGGTGTTCCCCCAACCGTTGTGGAAACCATTCGGGGAACATTTTGGGGAGGATGGCGGGGAAGATCAGGAGGAGGAGGAGGAGGAGGAGGAACAGCAGAAGGAGGAGGAGGAGCAGAAGGAGGAGGAGGAGAGGAGGAGAGGGAGGATGAGGAGGAGGAGGAGGAGGAGGAGGAGGAGGAACAGGCAAAAGGAGAAGAGGGGAGAAACAGAGGATGAGGAGGAGGAGGAGGAGGAGGAGGAGGAGGAGGAGGAGGAGAAGGAGGAGTCCTTTGGGAAGCCTCTTGGGGAGGAGGAGGCGGAGGAGGAGGAGGAGGAGGAGGAGGAGGAGGAGGAGGAGGGGGAGGAGGAGGAGGAGGAGGAGGAGGAGGAGGAGGAGGAGGAGGAGGATGAGGCGCAGGATGAGCAGGAGCAGGAGAGGAGGAGGAGGAGGAGGAGGAGGAGAAGGAGGAGGAGGAGGAGGAGGAGGAGGAGGAGGAGGAGGAGGGCGGGGAGGAGGAGGCCTCTTGGGAGCCTCTTGGGGCACTCTTGGAGCCTCCTGGGAGCTTCCTGGGGGCCTCTTGGAGGCTTCTTGGGGGACTCCTTGGGCATCTTGGGGTGCCTTTGGGGGCTTCTTGGGGGTCTCTTTGGCCGGGCCTTCCTGGTCCGTCTGATGCCGTCGGAAGCCGTCTTGGGGGCCTCGCTGGGCCGTCTTGGGGCCTTCTTGGGGCGCTTCAGGGCCGTCTTGGAGGCCATCTTGGGCGTCTTAGATGCCTCTTGGGCCGTCTTGGGGCCCTCTTGGGGCCGTCTTGGGGGCCTTTTGGGCCGTCATGGGGCCATCGTGGAGGCCTCTAGGGCGATCTTGGGGCCCTCTTGGGCCGTCTGGGGCCGTCGGAAGGCCGAAAAGGCGCAAACCCCAACATCTTTCAAACACCAAGGGGACATCAATAATTCTGACCTCTTCGGGCCTTTTTGGGGGACCCCTTGGAGCCTCTTGAGGGCCTCTTGGGGCCTTTTTGCGGCTTCTCGGGGGCCTCTTTGGCAGCCTTAGGGCGTTGTTGGCCCGTCTGACGCCGTCGGGAGCCGTCTTGGGGGCCTTTCCGAAACGGCTTGGGGCCCTCTTGGGGCGCTTCGGGGCCGTCTTGGAGGCCATCTTGGGCGTATTGGAGGCCTCTTGGCTCCCTCTTGGGACCGTCTTGAGGGCCCCTGGGGCCGTCATGGGGCCATCTCGGAGGCCTCGTGGGCGATCTTGGGGAGATCCTGGGGGTCTCTCGGGCCGTCTTGAGCCGTCGGAATGCCGAGAAGAAGCAACTGCCGAAATCCTTCAACAACCTCAGGACAATCAATGATTTTGGCCTCTTCGAGCCTTCCTGGAGGACCTCTTGGAGGCCTCTTGGGCCGTCTTGGAGGCCTCAGGGGGGCCTCTTGGGCCGTCTTGGGCTCTTGGGCCGTCTTGGAGGCCGTCTTGGAACATCTTGGGCGGACTTGGAGGCCATCTTGGACCATGTTTGAGTCCATCTTGGGCCATCTTGGCCGTATTGGAGGCCCTCTTGGGCGTCTTGGAGGCCTCTTGGGACCGTCTTGGGGGCCTCTTTGGCCGTCATGAGGCCCTCTTGGCGGCCGAAAAGGCGCAAATGCCAAAATCTTTCAAAAGCTTTTTAGGAGAGTCAATGATTTTGGCCTCTTCGGGCCCTCCTGGAGGACCTTTTGGGGGCCTCTTGGGCTGTATCGGAGGCCTCTTGGGGGCCTCTGGGGACGTCTTGGGCCATCTTGATACCATCTTAGGTCGTCTTGGGTGCATCTTGGCTCGTCTAGGAGGCATATTTGGGCCATCTTAGCCGTCTTGGAGGTCATCTTGGCCGTTTTGGATACATCTTGGAGGCATATTAGGCCGTCTTGGAGCCATCTGGAGAGAACAATCTTTGGCAACCGGGTCTGGGCAATCCTCCCGGGTGGCCGGCGGGACGGGCCGAATCCCCAGGGGTAGTTCTTTTGGAAAAACAGCCAAAACATAAACCGAAATAGTTTGGCACGCCAGGCACCCCTGCGATGAATCGACAGGGGGCGGCGGAATCTTGGACCCTCTTGGGCCGTCTTGGAGGCCGTCTTGGACCTCTCTCTATATATACATATGTGTGTATATATATATAGATATCGGAGACGCCTACGGCGAATCACCGCCGCCCCCAGCCTTTGTGGGAACGCCCACGTAGCCGATAGCTGGGCCAGAGCTTGGCCAAGCTATCGGACCATGTGCTCCCCGAGCCGATCTGGAAAGCCCTCGGGGAACACGTGGGGGAGGAAGAGGAAGAGGAGGAGGAGGAGGAGGAGGAGGAGGAGGAGGAGGAGGAGGAGGAGGAAAAAGGATAATGGGGAGGATGTCTCTTCGGAGCCTCTTGAGGCACTCTTGGGCTCAATTGGGGCATCTTGGGATCGTCTAGGAGGCCATGTTGGGGCTATCTTGGGCTCTCTTGGGGCCTCCTGTGGGCCTCTTGGGGCCCTTTTGGGGCTTCTCGGGGGCCTCTTTGGCCGTCTTATGGCGTTCCTGGCCCTTCTGACGCCGTCGGGAGCCGTCTTGGGGGCCTCTCTGAACCGACTTGGGGTCCTCTTAGGGCGCTTCGGGGCCATCTTGGAGGCCATCTTGGGCGTCTTGGAGGCCTCTTGGGCCGTCTTGGAGCCCTCTTGGGGCCGTCTTGGGGACCCTCTTGGGCTGTCACGGGGCCATCTTGGAGGCCTCTTGGGCGATCTTCGGACGACCTTGGGGCCTCTTGGGCCGTCTTGGGCCGTCGGAAAGCCGAAAAGGTGCAACTGCCAAAATCTTTCAAAAACCTCAGGAAATCAATGCTTTTGGCCTCTTCGAGCCTTCCTGGAGGACCTCTTGGGGGCCTCTGGGGCCGTCTTGGAGGCCTCTTGGGCGCCTCTTGGCCCGTCTTGGGCCATCTTGATGCCATCTTAGGTCGTCTTTGGTGCATCTTGGCTCGTCTAGGAGGCATATTGGGGCCATCTTAGCCGTCTTGGAGGCCATCTTGGCCGTCTTGGAAGCGTCTTTCTTGGAAGCCGTCTTGGGCCATCTTCGGGCCGTCTGGGGCAGGAAAACCCTTTGCAACCACCTCTTCTGGGACCCTGGCGGGACGGGCCGAAGTCCCAAGGGGAGTTCTTTTGGAAAAGAACCAAAACCAAAACCGAGAGCGTCTAGCACGCCAGGCACCCCTGCGGTGAATCGACAGGGAGCGGCGGAATCTTGGACCCTCTGGGGCCGTCTTGGAGGCCGTCTTGGACCATCTTGGGCGGAATTGGAGGCCATCTTGGACCATCTTGGAGGCCATCTTGGGCCAA